CGCCTGTCCTTGTTCCACAACCCCGACTAGACCTACTTCACCAACGGTACCACACTCGCCTGGGGGGACTGCCNGTCGCCTCCGATCCCCTTCGCCCGACCGCTACGCTCACGGTAGTTCACGAAGTTATCTGCACATCGGAACATGGAGCACGTGGCCGCTGTGTCGGCCACGTACACCGCCTGGCCTTGTTCCACAACCTCGACTAGACCTACTTCACCAACGGTACCACACTCGCCTGGGGGGACTGCCACGGCACAAAACGCCTGGTCTTCCACTGAGTCCACGTCGCTCTCATGCTCCACCACTTGCGCTAGGACGGCCTCCTCCATCGCGCACTTTTCTTTCGTGTGGCCCCACCCCTCGCAGCGCGCACACCACGGCACGAAGTCCTTCTCGTTGGTAGTGCAGCCGATCGCTTGATGTCCACGATGTCCACACCTAAAGCACCGGCCGGGACCTTATAGTCCCGCCACCGCCGCCATCGGCGCCTCCACTTCTGCTTCTGTTGCTCTCCTCGACCCCTCCGGATCCGCCTGAGCGGCCGCCGCGACCGCCGCCGCCGCCGCCGCTGCGACCGCCTCCGCCGCGGCCACGACTACTGCTGCGGCCACGGCCGCCGCCACGACCACGACCTTGCCCCTGACTCCTACTTGAGTACCGCTCCTTGCGGCCCTCACCGTCGGCGAAGTACTCTTGCTCTGCACCCTTCGCCACTTTTCCTTTCCCCTGCTTCCGCTTGACTTGATCGCCTTGTATTCGATCATTACTTCCTGTAGCACACCGGTCCGCGTCAACTCCTTCGCGTGTCGCAGGTTGTGCTTGGTCATGGCATACTCGTCCAAAAAGGCATCCAGGAAGAGGCGAAGGACGAACGTTTCGTTGACAGTCCTTTCCCGGTTAAGGACTTTGCGGTTTGGATAATCTCATTGAGGGTGCTTTGGGGGTTTTCACCTCTAGCGATCTTGGTCGACGTCAGGGACTTGAGGTCCTCTGACGGCTGTACATATTATTCAGGGTCGTGTATGGTCTTGACCTCACGAAGAGCTCCCTGGGGCGCTTCTGCCCTCTTCATGATTTTCCGATCTTTTTCTTTCAACGCGTGAGACAGGAAGTTCCACGCGTGGAATGCGAGCTCTACTTGCTCGCTCCGGTACTGCTGTGACAGCGAAAACTTGCTCTTTCCGCTGTTGACGGGGATCTCCAAGCTCCCGCTCTCTTCAAATTAGTCCAACAGGTTTGCGCCATTAGCTGCCATGCGGAAATCATTTAGCCATTCGTTGAAAGCTTTCGATTTCCCGCTGAACGGAGGAGAAGTGTACCGCGCACTTTCGTACCCCGTCGCTGGGGTTGTGGCTCCGTATCCAAAGCCAACAGCAGCACCACCATCTCCCATGGCACTACTATAATCTTGGTTGTGAGCAGCGGCTACTCTCACTTCTTGGGGGACAAAGCCCCCTGCTTCGCCGCTGTGTCGCCCTGACGGGCCAGACTCTCGCACAGGTTCGCGCAGGTTCCTCCAGTCCTACGCACTCCCGATCCACGGTGCCCCTCCTTCGGCGTTCGTGGACTCCGCGGCGGCGCTTTCCCTAGCATCGCCTGCGATCAGCGGCGCCCTCCATGGTGCCAGCTGGCTCCTCCTTCTTGCTTGCCTTCATGGTATCTTCCACTAGCGACATTAGCTGGCTCATCTGATCCGTCAGCGAGCTAACTTGCGTCCTCAGGGCCACGAGCTCTTCTCTTGACCTCTTTCTGTCTTCCGCCGCAGAGTCGCTGGAGGAGTCACCCCCATCATTGCGACCTGACATTCCTACTGGACTCTCCCTCGAGGGACTGACACTAGTGTGTTCGTATATGTTCTTTACTTGGAAGGGGAAGACGTCTTATCTCTTGTATTAGACACGCAAGGGGAGTAGGAAGAAGTGAAGCCCTCTTTGGAGTTCGAGGGGTCCCGGCACATGCAACCATTTCAAGGTGTACATATGCCCCATCTTCGTGCCCTCTGTTGTTGCCGGTAGATCTAACCAGTCTGTATCCAAACACACGAACAGGAGCTCCGCCCTAAAGGTGCAAGTGGCAAAATACATTCGTGTCCGGGGTAATCGTCAAATATTTTGGTTGATTTCGGTGTTGTTCTAAACAGTGGAAAATTTGGAATGATACTCGCCCACTGATCGCAATTGTCACACAACCATGTCGCCTCTGCGGCCGCCTTCATCAGGGGTGAGGACCATATATTATCACCCACATGAAGCCTTAAGCTAACTCCGCCGTTCAGGCCCCCCATCACCGCCAAGCGATGCGCATCATGTCGGAGTAGTCTACGTCGTCTACTGTACGTCGATACATGCTTCACGTGTGACGAATGAAGGAGGCCGCATGTATCCCTCCTCCATATCTCCCTGCGCAAAACTCAGCGACAACCGCGCGCAACACCCCTATGCTGTATCTCCAACGTCTGCCATGCTCCTCGCTGCACCGCGAAATTCTTCCACACGACCGCTCGTGCCGAACGGCTCATGCAAATCTCGCTGTCCCGAATGCTCTTATCCAGTTAACATGCTTTGTATTCAACTTGGTCCTTCGTTTCCACCGTCCTGCCCACCTTTCCCCCACCACTGAAGATCGCGACAACGAGGTACGGCTATTCGCACGCCTCCCCAAATTGGCATCAACGCCCCTTCCGTGCCGGTCAATCGTCAAAAGCTAAGGCATGCACGCCTATGAGTACCCCGCCGCGGTGTAAAGTCGTGTGTCTGTCAAATGTGAAACGCTTGGTTGGCCGGGATGCCTAGTCAACCCGTCGCATATATTTCTGGTGTGGCACAGCAGACGCAAGGATAACCACAAGGTTCTGGTTTACCCTTCCTTGCATGGTATGCGTTTACGTGAGGTATGCCCTACCCCAAGCAGTGATTGACCATCGGTGAATGGTCCTGTTGGAACAATGCTGCTCCGTCCTCTCTCGAGAACCTGAGGCATGGAAAATATGAGCAACCCCCCTCCCTTTTGCCCTCTAGACCCTGCCCAGCCGAGTGTCAACAACTTAGGCCCGGCGAATTGCCCCACCCCTCTTTCATGTGCGCCGCGCTGGACCCGTTGGTGCTGGGCGAAGAATCCCCCGCCTCTCCCCTCTTTGCCGCTGGAGGTTTCCTCGCACTGCTGCAGCAAGCATTTTGTGTTTCCTTCCCGCCCATACCCTTTTCTCCGTAGATTCTTCGACAAAGAAGGTCCGTACACCGTTACATTCATTCCAGTTTGCTACTGGCACCATCCAAGGACGAATCCGCCGGCCCTCCTTTCCGGCTGTGAAGCCCTCACATCCTTGTGCACCTTTCTTTTGGAAACACGTTGTTCCTCCAAAGCCCCTACCCCATTGTTGGGTTGCACGCCCCCCTCAACGGGGTGGGGTGGCGTAGTCATGGGCGTACTCATGAGTACGCCCCGCCTGCCCGTTGACGCCTCAATGCCCACACATAGACTACATGTCAACGTGTTCTCTGCCAACCGCGCACACATTCATTCAACTAAACACGCAACGTACAAGCCGCACCCTACCCCACCTTATTACACAAGACGAAACTATTTGTACTACTGCTTACGTATACTGGTATCCGTAGAGGAAGACCGAAACGAAAGGGGGAGAGAACTGACAACGCATGTACCAGTACCTCAGGTGGAAACGACATCGTCTGTGGTCGTCACGCCATATAGATACATAGCCGAACTCGCATCAGACACAAGACCACTCGCTGCCCGGAAAGCTGTTACGCACGAGCCTACGTTGCCATTACCGATGTGCTTGCAACAACCGTACCTACACGTGTGGTTCTACAATCTTGATATCAACACTATGTATTGTGCAGTATGCCATCGGGGATCGCACCAGTCGGAGAGATCGCGCCGGGGTGCCTTAATAAAAACACTTTATCCAAACCACATGCTGCAATTGCATTTCCGGGGTCGGAGAGATGGCACCGGTCGGAGAGATGGCGCAGGTCGGAGAGATGGCAAAGGGGTGCGATAAGAAACCCGAGGGGAAAAGATTGAGTCTAATAAACCCATCCCACCCGGTGCCATCTCTCCGACTTACACACGTTGGATATTCATCATTGTTACTATTTAGTAGTCTATGTTGTTTTTTCCTGTTAGGATGATCCGAACTGGGGGTAGCTTGTCGCAAGACGTGTGTTGAATAGGGTGTCGGCAACTCGGCGAGCTCGCGCCAAGGAGGAAAGACGTGTAGGGTTTGTTGCATAAACTTCTTCTTCACATGAACTCACATGAACTTACATAAAACACACTGAACGCACGCGTGCACGCACCACCATGAGGGGGCGACGCAGTATACAACAGGGGTACCTTGCACATCCTGTAAATACATTCCACGTACCACACAATCCTACAACCACTTGGCATTGCTACAAGTATATCTATCAGCCCCCCTGCTTGTGACCATGCCATGTCTTTTTCGATCCTCAACAACTCCAAAACACAAGAAAATAAAATCAGAAACTCCACTCAACTCTAGAACA